TTAAATTATTCAATGTTTTCATTATTTAACGCATTTTTTTAATAAGCACCCTCTCCATTTGACTATGCAGGAAATGTACTCACTGATACTTCAATGTCCCCTTTCACAATATTTTGCGGGAAAACGTATATCCCATAACAGGCTGGTGTCGTTGGTTAAGTGTAACACCTTTTCTTTGTTGAAATATCAATTTTTGAAGCTCGAACAATTGTTTTTGGTGGTTGTTAATACTGTTACAAGTAATGACGGATGGCGAATTTAAACCCAAGTCAATACTGGATGCTGACGGTGTATTCATTTTAAGACCACGTGACTCAAAATGGATTCCACTCACTTTTCCACACATTCATAATTTATCAGGTTTAATATGAGTACCCCTTCCCGATGGTCTTTTCAAGTAACGGTGCGGTTTACACGCACAAGTCAACCTGCCGCTACCAAAACGTATAGACTCAACAGGATTATGTACCTATGGCAACGAAGTAAGATAACTTTCGGCCAGGCCAACAAATAAGCGGATTTGCCGCTTATCAAATTTTTAAATGATTCTTGGGGTGACACTTGTATGGTGGATGGTCCCGCTGTCAAAATTTCTTGTTTTTATTAATTAGCCAAGTGACGATAAACGGAAACACAAACATACATCAAAGTACTCATCCAAGTCTCCTGAAAATGTAGCTCTAGTGTTACTTGATAACAAGATTGAACAAGAAAACTACTTAACAATTATGAAAAACAATGAACTTCGCAAATCCTTAACAAAATTTAGACTTGGCAACCACTGTCTGAAAATTGAAACAGGCCGGCATATAGGTTTGGATTTTAAAGACAGAGTCTGCAATATGTGCGACAATGACCATGTTGAAGATGAACAACATTTTGTCATAAATTGTCCTCATTACAACGAAATAAGATCAACACTTTACATTGTAGCTAATAAATGTATACCAAATTTTGACAAATTTAGTAATGAAAATAAATTCATATCATTACTAAGTAACGAGAAAATGTCAATTCCTTTAGCACAATATTTAAAAAACTGTTTTAATACAAGACAGCAGCATCTAAATAAACTAAGTCAGTAACACATTCCTCGTATACAAATTTATCTTTCTTTTTTTAATGCTTTTTTGTTCCCTTACTTTTTATATAGTTATTTTTCTTTTACTAATATTTGATTTGTAACCCTTTTTATCCCCTCCGGGGGATGTTGTGTGTTAATAAATAAATAAATAAACTCGAAACCGAATCCCAATCCGACGCCAATTTCGGCTTACATACATACAATGTATAAGAGGTCAACATGCCTGACCGTGTCAGTGAGTTCAACACCACGAGGGTGTACGTTGAAAACGCTCGCATTATATGAAAATTTATTAAAAAACGAATTGATAATGACGACATTCAAAGCGTGATATGAATTTTGATCAAATGTAGCAATTATTATAGCCAACCGAATAAATACTAGTAATCAGGTAAAAAAAAACGACGATCTTATGACCCATGTTGAATTTGTTTTTGACAATTCTCATGCATAATTTAATGTTATACTATTTAACTTTGAAAATCTTTTCTTGGTGAAGAGATGTAACACCAGACCTCGTCTATTTTATATAACTATAATTAATTGCGTCAGCGGTCTAGTAATGTCAAAACACGGTTTCAAATCGAAACACGTTATGCTTCATTAAAGCGGGGGAGTAGTCACCTGCGCATGCGTCAGATGGCCATAGCGTGTCATTGTTTAAAAAAACAAGCGTCTACCCATGAGCCTTTGCGTTTTTATTCCTCAGCTCCTGAGAGCGAGGTTATTTGTAGATATGTTGGCGATCGCCGCTGTGTCTGCGGAAGTACTATGGGAGATTGCATGATGGGAGTGAAAAGTCCTTTGATCAGTAAAATAATTTTAGAAAAGTGAAAACAAAAGTGACTGTGAAATAAAGGTTTGTTTTAAATATTAAATATCATGACATTTGGATGTAATAATGAAAGGAAATTGAACTGGTATGAAAGGGCAGTACATGTAGCCAGAACGCAAGGTCAGAATCCGGGTCAAAATACGTCACAATACATCCATCAAGGCGGTTGCAAAGTGTCAACAACTATGGATTAGGTAAAAGACTTCGTTTGCAGTTTGCGTGAATGGCCGGGAGAAAAATTCATGCAAATTCTGTGCTTCAGTATCAGTATTTACTTCTTCTTTTTTGTGTGCAATGGAAATTAATACAAGAAATGCTGTCAATAA